AAATAATTGGCCACCAAAACAACACGCGCAATTTAAACCCTAATTTCCTTGATCATCGATGAAGTTACTCCAACGACATTTGATCATAAAACACTGCGCGAGCACATTAGGACATCAAAATTATCCAAAAATTATACCCATATAAATTAGGCATCGCATGTGAATTATAATAAAAAAATTTCAAGATAACTGTGATTTAAAATGAATTTTTATTTTTATCGAGTTTTCCTTTCCCAGCAAGCCACCGCTTAAGCTACAAGTGCCCAAGCCCTCCCCTTACCTCCACCTCTAATTCTATCCAATCACAACTCTCCACCTCATTTCACAAGATAAAAAGCCTCCTAATCTAAAACACCAATCCCTCTTCTCCCCCTCACACGAGGCAGAAACCCACATTTCCATTGCCTTCATATGAAGGGAAACGAACACCAACTCTGCAGCTCCCTTCCCTCTCCCTCTTGTAGGGCTCTGAATTTAGTTTGAATTGTTAATCGCTCAAAAATTGATTTGAATTTTAGCTCGAATCAAGATCGAATCAAAATAAACGAGCCAAGCTACGAGTTAAAATTTTGGATTGAATTTTTTCCTAGCCGATTTTGAGCCAACTCCAACTCGGCTCGAAATTGGATCGTTAACAACCCTAGTGATGTTCGGATTTTGAATTAGCAAATTTAGCTCGAAGATTGTTAATCGCTCGAAAATTGATTTGAATTTTGGCTTGAGTTGAAAAAAAATGAGCCGAGCTACGAGCTAAAATTTTTGATTGAATGATTTTTGAGCCGACCTTAGCTTTGCTCAAAATCAAATCGTTAACAACCCTACTCTCTCGCGCCTAAACCAAACGACACCAAATCCCAAACTTCCTGCTTTTCTCCTCCCTGCTGTGCCTACTCCAACTCACCAAAATCAGCAATCAACTCCTCTTCTTCACACACCACCAACCGGAATACCTCACCTCATCACCGTCGGTGACCTGTTCTGTCCGCAAACTGCTCTATTCCTCACAAACCTCCCCATTTCCACCTGCTTTTTCTTCCACTGCTTTGCGTCAGGACAGCCTGCTTCCCTGTGCTGCAGACAGCCCGCAGAACACCTCCCCCTCATCTATTGCTTTAGTAGCTTCCTTCCCTGACGCGACTCAAGGCCCAGAGCCTAGCTCTCTTACCTGCTGTCCTACTCACATGAGCCGCATCTAGTCTCCCTACTCACCACCAGTACTTTCAGCTACTGAGGACCCTCAAGCAGCGGAGCATCAGCTGACAGTGACTATTGATGTGCGGAATATGTACATGTGGAGAATAAGATGAAGATTGCTATGGTTAATGCGTAGCACTTTAAGATTCTTTGCGGAGAAATCAGTCTCTTCTAATACTTAATTGATTCTACGCTGAATGGCAAGTTTAAAAGGGATTTTAGAGTTGGGTAGGGAGTTTATTTCCATGGCTGAAATTTGACTAGCTGAAGAAATATTGGTTGAAATGGAAGTTTAACAGTGAACCGATAAATGTGAGATGCATCAAGTCTGCTGTAGTTCACCTTGAAGGTTAAAGAAAATAGAGCAGGATTGCTAGAATCCTATACAGTGGAAACAGTCTCAAAGTTTGGGTCATGGTTCTCTTGCTTCTTTGACAAAACAGAAGGTGTTGGATTTGTAAATATATTGTAAAGTCGAAAAGATCAAAACCTGGAGATGGGGAAGGAGAAACTCAAGCATTGAACTGTGAGAGTTTTATAGTTTATCATTGATAAATCTGCAAGAGAAGTGAAGGCTTGATGGCTGAATAGGATAAAGAGAAGATTAGTCTGCAAAAGTTCAGGGAGAAGGCATAAAACGAAAATGCTTGAGTTAAGTTGGAGGGGGTTATAGACTTGGAGACTCTTAGGAAAATATGAAGTAATGGCAGCTTTGCGACACAAAAATATAAGTACATGTCTCCATCATCCTGGTGCAACAGGGAAATCCTGTTATGTGTAATGTGTATCAGTGTATGTTGTGCCTCTTATACAGGTACCTTAAGCCTAATGCACACTTTTTTAATTGAAGTGGGTTAAAAACTTGTCTGTGTCGGATCAACGTGAAGGGAATGGCGTCTTGTGCCCGTGCATTTGTTTTTATGCAGGTATATGAAGCCCCATGCATGTTTTTTTAAGCATGATGGGTTTCAAAGATCCCTAGGTCATAATGATGAAAGACACTGACCATGCACATAGTATGAAATGCTCAGTTTCCCGATGTAGCGCCCCAAGCAGGGATGACGATGGGAGGTTGCCAGAATTATGTCTAAATATCACTCGTAAAGAACAATTAAATTGAACTTATTTGAGCTAAAATTCAATAAAGTAAGGCTTCTAATTTGCAAATTAAGGATAAAAATGAGACTTAAATTAATTATATAACTTATTAAAAATGACAAAAATGAATATAAATAAAACTTGCACAACCTACATGGGACTCGATGCCACGTTAATGAGCTCAAATGAATCCTATTTTGAACTCATTATCTCACCTACATCTGCAAATGGAGCTCACTACATATTAATTAGAATTGTTATAATCAATCATGCACTACGATTATGAGAAGGTCTATTTAAATGTTAAATGAAAATATAACATACATTCAAAATATTCATTAGCCAGCACAAGTGAAGCCTCACTAGGTATTCAAAATTTAATAAACTACAAAAAAAAATTCAACTAAATATCATATCTTAAATGTAGAATTAGAACTTTAGTTCGTCTAAAATGCCACCAGATCTGCAACCCGGCTACATAAGTGGAAAAAGGTCTTTCACTAGGCAAAATTTTGAACGCTTGCTACGAGATCCACAACCCAACAACACAATCGGACAAAAGTATTTCACTAGGCAAAATCTTGCACATTCACCACTGAATCTGAACCATTTTTGTAATACCATATAGAAAACAAACTTTAGGGCCCCAAAATAAAATCTTGCACATTCTGCAAGACTATTAATGTCGAGTCAAGTACACCACCTTGAAGAATATTAAATGTCTTAAATTTATTAATGTTGAGTCAAGCATGCCATCTTGAAAATATCAAAATTTTCAAGGTTCGTGCAATATATAAATACACTAAGAATCACAAACTATAGGCACTAAACTCCCTCATGTGTTCCAGCAAATTTGTTAAATACTTACACATGTGATCTAAGAATGTTGCACTGGCAACTGACCTCCTTGCTTATAGGGTTGGGTCGTAATTCCTGTTTTGACTAGTCTGATCTCCCTCCATACAAAGATCGGAACTGATAAGGCTGAGCTTCAATCTGATCCTTCTCCTAATCAGGACTGTAGTTTACAGGACTCAGCTCCGACATACCAACCTGATCTTCTTCTTCATGAGGACTAGAGAAAATAGGACTAGCATTTCAAGTAATTTTAAGCATTAACTAATCCCAGGGGATGGTCAACTTAATAGAATATTTCAACCTGAGATGTCTACTTTCAAAATAAATTTCAAAATATATTTAAAATTTAATTAAAATAATACTTGAACCCAATCCACTGTAAGTGGGGCAAAGTCGACAAGTTCATAATATTCAAATTCCATGACGATATGCATGTTAATTACATATCTTAACTGGAGGTGATTATTTATGAAATCAATATTCTAAATTATAGTATTCAAAATAGTAGAAGGAAATATGTCACTTGAATGCTAAAAGCAAAACTCATCCGCCCTCAACAACTGTTTATTGAGATAGACAACGTTAATATTGACTCAAGCTCACAAAGAGCAAAATATTATATCAATTATATTACTAAATTTAAACTCAAAATAGTCTCATTTCAGTAAGGACATTGCCCCAGTCCTTTGTACACATGGTCTTGCCGCCAAAAAAATACCACAAAGAAGTGGTTAAGACCAACGCCCCTGATCGGGTGGTATGTCGCAAAATAGTACCATATTACAGGCACGACTATAGCCCGTATGTTCCCACAATGACATCCTACCCTTTTGAGTTATGAATCAAAATCTATATAGTGTCGAATTAAATTAGTCTTATTAGACAAACATTTACCCCAGGTCTATAAGGTTTCCTTAAACGAAGTAACTCATAGCTGCTAACGAGAATTCTTCTGTCAGGTTGGGTTGACTACCTCCTCTGATTAAATAGACCAGAGACCAAGAAAACTTGGGATAACGAAACCATAGGATCTTGTTCAGGTTCTTCATCATTTCCCCTACCATCCGGTTTTTATAATTTAAAATCTTAAATTTGTTGATACTATATGCTAAGTCTTAAAACTTAGCGCCTAATAACCATCCTTAAATGAAAAAGCTCTCTAATTATCGGGAGAGATAATTTACCATTGGGGCTTGTGCCTATGAGAACCCTCAAACCCCATATTTTAAAATCCTCGCAAAATGAGGGTAAAATATTTGAATGGTGTCTTATATACGATATCATCCGTCTTCTGAAAATTTGACCCAAAAATCTCACAGAAAACTTCCCTTTCATCCCCATCTTATTTTCTTCCTTTTAGAGGAAGGCAATTTTTGGAGCTCACAATCATAAGTTGCTGTGAAACTATATATAACATCTTCCATCAAAATTTACAATGAATACTCACATTATCCATCATCGTACTAAAAATCTAGAACATAAATGTTCATTTAATTCACCCAAAAAAATAACATTTCCTTCTCAAGTATAAGTGAGGTTAGTTCATTTATTTCTTCCAAGAATTATTTTTTAACCAAATTTTCTAATCCAACTTGTGGAGTATCAGCATTAACCATATTTATAATGCCTTCATTAATAATTATCTTAAAAGAAATCAAACTATCAATAACCCTATTCACCTCGTCAACTTTATGTTTATAGACTTCCCTAATGTCCTTAAGATTTCTCCTTTACATTAAGTTTCTTACAAACAAATAATATTTATACTTGTAGTTTGGTTCAAAGGCCATAAATTGAATAAGAACTGCATGTAATATGAAAAATAAAAAATGGGGAAATTGTTATCATACTGTTCCAGCTGAGCAGCAAATTGAGCGACTTTCTGCTTACACTGGTTTGCAGAAGTTGTCACCTCTTCACTAAGAAAAAGATCAGCAGCACGCTCGAAGTAGTCCATGGATTTGTCTAAGTTCTGCTCTTGCTCATAAATGTCACCAAGTTCCTGAAAGCAAATTCCAGTGTTCAGAGTTCCCAAAAAGGTTCAATTATTCATTACAGTTGATAGCTTTACTGCTACATATATGTGTGCATGTGAACAGCCTACACGAAGGGGCATTGCTTAAAATGGAAACAAAAGAAAAAATTACAGTCATTATCAAAACAAGATCACCAGGAAAACAAATTCTCAAGTCCCAAACCACAGCTAAATGAAGCCAAAGCAAAATTTGACAAACCTTAATGGAAACTACCTTCAGAACATTCAGATTTAGGTACCTTGTAGTATCTTGCAGCCATATTCAGTCTACCAATCTCCATGAAAAGATTCACAGCCTGGTTTAGAGATTGTGCAGCATCTGTAGAAGAGATATGATAACTGAACTTTGTTAGTCATTTTTAAAATTGTCTGAAATAAACATTTTTCAGCACTATTACTGAAATAACTAATAGTTTAATGCTTGAGTTTGGGACAAGCAAAGCACATGCTAAATAGAACGCGGCCAAGCAAAAAAAATGGTAACGACTTTTATTTCTGTTTTTAAGTGCACATTATATGCGTGCCTTTTTGCATTTCAAAATGAGCAATTGCCCGGTATAGTACTAAGACCAGGAAGAAATGCATGGTGCCAAATTCCCAAGTATTCAAATATAGGAAGTACCATAAAGCCAACAGAAAAAAATCATTATTGATCCCAAGCACATTTGATAAATGTTGAGGTCATTTGAAGATGACCTAAACTTAAGCCAGATCAAATAAAATGAATCCAATTTTGAATTATCTTGGTACTTCACAGAAGCGGTGAACCAACACAAAACCCAGTTTTCATAAGTAGATAAGGATCAGCAAGAATGTCCCCTGAAAATGAAGCGCCACAACCACTCTAATTATAGTAAGAAGTAGGCCAGCGATAGCTCAAACATCACAGCAAAGTGTTCATACGGCAACCAGGGAGTGATCATGAATAAGCAAAGTTTGATTACTAAAATTAAGATTAGATTATCCATATAGAAGTAGAAGTTAAAGACTTTGAATGAAAAAAAAAAAAAAAAGAATTGTTGGGCAAAATGATTAAAAGAATTAAATATTATTTGTTTAAATGAAACAAAGTGGGAAGTAAAAAAGGTCAATTGGAATTGAGATAAACAACAAGAATGAAGTTGAAACGGCACTTGATTAAAGAGTTGAAAGGTAAAATTGACAGGAAAACAGTGTTACTTATAAGGTTATTTCTGTTAAGATAATTATCCGTAAGAATGTCCTAAATTTAACTAATGCTTACGCTCTTCAAATTTGGCTGGAATATTGCTTTTATAAAATAAATTTTGAGAATGAGCGCCTATAATTTATACCTGAAAAAAAAAATTATATTTATTAGAGGTAGCTTACAAAAGCATGATCCATTATACTTTGAATCAAGCATCCACCAAGGTTGTATTAGCAAAATGAAAGAGCAAATAGTGTCAAATTCTAAATGATCTAAATGTATAAATAAATATATCATAAAAGATATTGGAATTCATAATTGTCACCCCTACACACGTCTAAGAAAGGTTAATGGTTGACCTTAGGTCAACAACAAATAAAAAACTTGTAGCAAATATAATGAAATAAATCCAAACTTGAATTTGGTTGGTAGTAAAGTGTTCCCTAGAAGAGGCATGCCAACACCAAATCTGAGCGTGCTAGATAAAGTTCCGTTACAATTCATCAAAGAGTGATGCCACAACCATTCCAATTGTGGTGAAAAGTAGATAAGGATAAGAGAACGCCCCAAAAAAAAACAAAAAAAGTTGAGGTTGATTAGGTCTAAAACTGAAATAGATATGTTACATGAATTTTTTTTACTCTGAAATAAAAAAACGAATGATAATTCAAGAGCATAATGATTAGAAAAAAAATAAATATTGATTATTTAAAAGAAACAAAATGGAAAAGAGGATGATACAAAAGTTATTAGAAAATTAAATTATTGAATGTTGTAAAGATTAGAAAGAAAAATAATATTGGGATGGCTGTTGATGGAGAGTTTAAAAAAAAAATGGGATAAATAAGATTAGTGAGAAAATTATTGCTATTAAGATAGTTATTGATGAGAATATTATGAATGTAATTAGTGCGCATGCTTCTATGTTAGATTAGATTAAAAATAAAAAACAAAATTTTGAAAAGTGATGGATGAACTACTACATCGCACAATTGAGGAAAAAATGATAGTGGAGGCAATTTGAATGAATATATAAGTTCTAGTTGGATAGAAGAATTCACAGTGGGGATTACATGGGAGAGCAAAATACAAAGGGAATATATATTTACTTTCGCAGCTGTTTATGATCTTGCAATATCAAACACACTTTAAAAAAAAGAAACGGTTAAATTACTAACAAAAGTCAAGCTACCAAATTAAAATAATTATTTTTCAAATTAAAAAACAATGAAATATTTATTCACAAAAATTAGAAGGTTATTATAAGAGGGTGTTTGACACAAAAGAAATTAGTTGTGGATGTATATGCTAATAGTATAAAGAAAACAATAAAAATCATTGCTGTATGTATGATAAAGTGTGGAATATTAAAAGGTACAAAGTGGTTAATTTTTTAGGATAAGCTAGTAAGAGAATCAGCAAAACAATCTTTAGTTGCCAAATATCGCGTGCTAATTCGAAGATTTAAAAGAGCCTATGACAAAATTGTATATAGATGAGGACCTTAGGTAACTAAATTTTGCCATCCAATCCTAAAATGGTCATAAAATCAATAATAATCTTTGTTATCCTTACTTCCAACTAGTTTAATACTTCTACTTTTTTCGAAAAGAATATACTAAATAGGGTGTGTACAAGTGAAATATTATTCGAAAATCGTAAAAACACATTCATCCAATGCATTTATTTATGTTTTATGCAGAAAATCTATGGATGCTTCAATATAATATGAGTCAATATTCCCCAGTATTGTACTAATACCATGAAAGAACAGTTACAAATTTGTATATATATATATATATA